GACGCGCAGGCTCAGCGGCCACGGCTCACGGGCCCAGCCGCTCCGCGGCATGTAGGATCTTCCCGGACCGGGGCACGAGCCCGTGTCCCCTGCATCGGCAGGCGGACTCTCAACCACTGCGCCACCAGGGAACCCCTCTTTGATTCTTTTAAAAGTGAAACGCGCTTTACTTCTGACTAATGTGTAATGTATATTCTCTGACTCTAAACTCAGTGGGCAAGTCTGCTGCCTCCCCATCTTGAGTTGGCCTGCCTGTGGCCTATCAAGAGATTGACATTATGCCCCTAAGTTTACCTTGCCAGGTGCATGGAATTGAGGGGTTTGTCTTTAAATGCTTTTGCTTTTGTCCTTGGCCAGCTTACAATAGCCTTTGTCTTTTCTGCTAGGTATCATTGGTGGACTGACCAGTGTTATAACCTCAACGGTGGAAGGTGTGAAAACAGAAGGGGGTGTCAGCGGTTTCATATCTGGCCTTGGGAAGGGGCTTGTTGGCACTGTAACCAAGCCAGTGGCAGGCGCCCTGGACTTTGCATCAGAAACAGCCCAGGCAGTGAGAGACACAGCCACACTTAGTGGCCCCAGGTCAGTGGTTGTCGGAGGAGTGGCTTGTGCAGTTTCCAGCCCGGGTCTGCTGCCTCTCCTGAGCCATACTGATATGTTGAATCCTATACTTTTTCTGCCTTAATGATGTGATTTTTTAAAATTTGAATACATGTAACTAAAATTTCTGACCTGCCTAATATAGAGGCATGAAAAATGAGGCACAAAGATCTGGCATGAATTTTTCCAGATCTATATTTATATCTGTATCTATCTATCTATATCTATATCTGCCTGTACTGGATGTGTGTGTGTGTGTGTGTGTGTGTGTGTGTGATGTTGTTTTTCATTAGAGGAGTGAGAAATACGATTGGATCCTTACACACATCCCCTGTTCACCAAACTAACTAGACCCCTACATGCCCATTAAGAATACTCTCAGGCCATAGGCTGTGTCTTGCTCCGAGGCCCCATGGGGTGGTTTGAGAATCCCTGCAACTGCGGTTCACCACATGGGTCTGTCCCTTCTTAGCTCTCCTTCCACTTGAAAGTGCCAGCCAGTTCCCCAACCTGATAAAGAAACTCCCCAAGGAAGTTGGCAGTTCTTCTGTGGGATGCTGTCTTGCCTTGATACCAGCTGAGACAGGAAATCAGTGACAGCCCGTATGGCTCCAAATCTCACAGAATCCAACAACTTTAACTTCGCTCTTTGTGTTAGTGGCCTATTTTAGCCTCCCTTTTTCAGAGTGACTAATTGGGGATCTTATCAACAAAGGGTATAATGAGTGTTACGGTTCCCAGCCAAACTGGACTCCACTTAAGCCCAGGAGGATTTCACTGCTGCCTGGTTAATGGATATTCCCTGAGTGAATCAGTGTCCCCTTTTAGAACGCCTAGGGCCTGGGCCACGTCCACACCCTATCGCTCCCTCAAATAGGATTTGAAGTGAAACCGTCCCCAGTTAAAATGAATCCATTTTCTGTCACCAGGAAACCTTACTGATGACACATTACTGCACTAGGGGAAATGCTTAAGATTGTAGACTGGGACCACGTAATATGTTCTGCCAGAAAGTCTTCCATCTGGAAGCAGCTGCTTTTTTAAAAAAGGATCTGTAGGGTTTACTTTAGTTAATTTTACATTCTCTTCTCAGACACAGAGCTGAAATAATCCTTGAGTATATTTTGAAGCATTTATGGAGTTGGGAAGAGGGGCAGGAGGGAGCCTTCAAAAGTGTTTCCAGTTAGTTTTTCCATGTCTGCTCAAAGCCCAAGAAGTCTGCCACAGGTATTTTGTTAGGACAGTAAGACCTAATGAAGCACGAGCTAAGCGGAAGGCCCCTAAGAATTCCAGAAGATCCATCCTCATCCTTAAAATCCGAGAGTGGTCAAGGGACTGAGTGAGTTGTTTCCAAAAGGGTCTGAGATGTATATGTTAAATTGAGAAATATTATATTTTGTGCTGTAAACTCGAATGATGTTGACCAGAAAGAAATCACTTGCATTTTATACACTGTCAGTCTGGAAATCTTGATAAAGTTTTGCATATTTTTTAGGGCACAAAATGGTTGCTGCAGAAAGGTGATGGTGTCATTTTTACCAGTTGTCTGGCTTTGCTGTAGAAGGTTCTCTTTAGTGTCAGTCGGTGTATATCTGTCACTCATTCATTTTTCAGTTAGTAAATATTGATTGAAAATTGCCTAAGATCTCAGGGTGGGGAATATAGCAGAAAGCAAGGCTGTCCCTAGTCTCAGAGGACTTACAGTCAAGCGGGGTGGCAAACATAAAACAGATAATCATATAAATAATAATTTGCTAAAATTGCGATAAATGACACAGGAGATTTACAGAGTGCTGTGAGACTGTATAATTAGAGAAGGCGAGGAGTAGAAGGTTTGCTAACGTGGGGTCAGTGGGGTCAAGGGAAGTGACTTTCCTAGGGAAGTGACACTTGAGATGAAGCCTGAAGGAGAAGTATGACTTGGCCAGGTGACGAGAAGAAAGAATCACCTTCTAGGTAAAGGGGTGCAGGGAGGCTATGCAGCTTGTCTCAAAGCGACCAGCAGTTGGGCAGTCTAATTCAAGTGCCCAGAACGGCTGTCTTCTAGTCACTCACTCCTCCTGGAAACAAAAGCTCTAGTGATGAGTGAGGGGCAGCCAGCTAGCCGTGGGCCTACAGACACGGAAGCTCAAAGCGGGGGGCATTAAGCTGCTGCCTCTCCTCTCTGTCCCTGGAGGAGCCAGTAGTGGGAGAGCCAAGGCTGCAGTTACCACGTGCTAGACCTGTGAACTGAGGGCCTCAGAGAAGCTTGGCCCTTTACCCTTCATTGCACTGAAAAGGCGCTACAGATTCTTCGGAAACTCTTTAACCAATTTCCCTTAGTCCATTCGTCTAGATCCAAAAGTAGGGTTATTAACAAGGAGCCAAGCACTAGAGAGAAAAGAGCACTTGACCCCGAAAACCATAACACTCGGCCCCAACCCCCTTACCTATGAGCTTTGGGCCCTTGGTCAAGCCTCCTAGCCTCTCGAAGCCTCAGTTTCTTCCTCGATGAACTGGGATAAATATACCTGTTTATTTATTCTATCTCTCAGAGGTTTGAAGCCCAACCAGAGTTATTTTAATGTGGATGCCATAAAGAACTATAAAATGCTGGGTGATATTACTTTTGAAGTCACATTAAAGGAGCAGAGAGATTTTTGCAGGTGGAGGAATGTTGCAGGGCCTTGAGGGTTTGTTCTGACGACGCTGTGATCTCTTAGGAACGCACTAGCTCTACCAAGGGATAAATCACCCTGATTTCTTGGAAGTGAGTTACAGCCGTCTCCAAACCATCCCTGTTGATGGAACAGGGTCCAGGGGTGTTACTCAGGGTTTTTCCCCTCTGTTTAGACAACAGGGACTAACTAATGGTTTGAAGGGATTAGAAGTGAGATTCTGACCGAGGGCTGACCTGAGCCCAGGGACTGAGCCAGCGATAGAACCCAGGAGTCCAAGGGCTCTGCCTCTGAGTCCGCTCTTGGAATGAGACTTTCTGCTTCCTTTGTAATATTTCATCCAAGCGAGGGCTTAGATCTTAGCATCTATGTTTTAACTGACCCAAATTTTAAGCAGATGATAGCAAAGTAAGCCATAAAACTGTGGAAGGCTATTCCTTCCAGTAATCCATCTGAAAAGTGGCCTTACAGGAAATATTGGCTCCTTTTTGTGTTTATTTGAACATGATTTTATTTATAGGGAACCCCCCCCCATACTTGAGCTCTTTTAGATTAAAATACTTCCAAGTTCCTCTCCTTGTTGGAGTGTGCAGGCGTTCCAAGAAGACAGCCACCTACCTTTTCCCTGAAATTTCCATGCAATCTAACAGTTCTTGGGAAGGCAGGTGGGGGTGGGGGAGAGGAGAGGGTGGAGGACAGCAGAGCCTTTGGCCTCAACATGAATGCTGTGGACCCGTATCCCCTGCTGCATTTGTTAACTGTACAAGTATGTGTGGTTTGGAACTGAAGGAAGAAGCCTTTTCCAAGGCAACGTTCTGCTGGCTCAGGTTGCATCTTCTCGTCTCCGTGTGTTGAGCCACATTTGTCTGTTCCCAAGTAAAGTTCATGAAAATGGCACCGATGCAGCCACACTTGTGGTGCCATTGAAGTCATGTAGACAAGCCCGCCACCCTTCAGGAGACCGGGCCAAAGCAGGGCACCCACTGGGCTGCACGTCCAATTCTCTGCATGTGTGGTGGTATTTGCTGGTAGCGTTTAAAAAGATACTTGGGTAGAAAGCCTCAGAGACCCAGGAGCAGCAAAAACACCATGGAAAAGAAAGAAGGGTCTGACCCTGAGCTATTTATTTGCTTGTTTATTTCTCTGAGTACCATATGTCGTACGCTTGGGGTCACATGACGTTTCAAGAAAGTAGCAGACGAAGACTTAGGAAGCTGGGCCCCTGGGGTTTCCTCCAAAATATTTCTTCACCTTTTTCGTCAAGACCCAGAACAGGGGGGAGAAGAGGGAGCTGGCAGAACTTGAAATATTTAAACTAATTTAGCAAAGCTCAGGATTGTTGGGGCTTATCTCATTATTTAAGTTAGATAAGGAGGAAGGGGCAATCTGAAGGATAATGATAGATCATTGTTTAAGAACATAGCATCAGGACTCTGATAATGTTCTGGAGTCCCGGGACCCTTGTGTTGTGCACGTAGATGTAAATTCCAGTTGCTCTGAGGGCTTTTGAGTAACCATTTGGTTGGTTTCACAGAGAAGATTTACGGTGGGCTTATTTGACTTCTTCAGTGCAGATACTCCCAAGACACCATCCAAAATCTGTCAGAGACTTTCCACTAATGGCCTCTTAAGATGTGAAACTGAAATGGATTTTTTTCAGGAAAAACCCTTTTTGTTAGTGTTTGCATCTTACCCATGACTCTCCAGGATAAAAGGTCATCAGAGGCTGAATGCTGTCAGGTTGGGCAGGTGAGAAGAAAATCAGCAAAGGGCATTTAGGGAAGGCTTCTCCTGCTCTGCCATTCTAGTCTGGCAACACTGCTCTGAGAGCAGCTGTTTGCCCTTCTTGGTATCGTACATAACACATCAAGCAGAATTGGCTTGAATTAAGCCTTTAGGGAACTTCCAAAGGTAAAAATCGAATAAAAATGTAAATGTTTGTTAGGATATATACCAGAGCTCTCAGTTTTTTCCACCGGTGTTTCCTTCTGAGGCAGAGCACGGTGGACCGACGCCCCATGGATCTGGAGGCAGAGCCAGTCCAGCATTTCCTGGAAGGTTTCTGTTTCATCTTAAAACTGTAAATGAACTTTACAGTTTACCCCATGTTTGTTTTAATAGGGTATAATGTTTTTAATTGCTACCCAGTAAAATTAGCCATTCGGAAACATACACCGTGTCATCCTGTAGCTACTGCCTCCTGCTCATTTAAGAAGTACAAGATAACCCCTTCCAGATGAGTTCTGTAGACCCCTCATAGCATCGATATAAAGCCATGGTTATTGGTCTGGGTGAAAAGCAAGAGCCTAGTACAGGTTTGACCCT